AAGGTAGGAAATATATTCATCTAGTGAACGTAAGGGTTTGAAAGGTAACTAACGCACATGTGTAGAGAAAATGGTGCATCGGCCAGTCTGGCCGGCATTTCGCACTTATAGTGCAAGTAGGGCCAAGGAGAACGGAAACACTCATTTCTCAAAGAGTAAAGGGAATCTAGCGGTCTCACTCAATCAGAAGGTGGGAAATATATAAATCTAGTGAGCTAATAAGGTTCGGAAGGAATCTAATGCATATATATATGGAAAGTGGTGCATTGGCCAGGTCGGTCAGTATGGGAACTTAGAGTGCAAATGCCTGGGAGAACGGAAGCGCTCAGATCTCGCATAATACACGGAATCTAGTGGTCTCACTCAAATAGAAGGTAGGAAATATATTCATCTAATGAACGTAAGGGTTTGAAAGGTAACTAACGCACATGTGTAGAGAAAATGGTGCATCGGTCAGTCTGGCCGGCATTTCGCACTCATAGTGCAGGTGGGGCTAGGGAGAACGGAAACGCTCGTTCCTCAAAAAGTAGAGGGAATCTAACGGTCTCACTCGATCAGAAGGTGGGAAATATATATCTCTAGTCAGCCAAAAAGGCTTGAAATGTATTCAACGCACATGTATAGAGAAAATGGTGCATTGGCCAGGTCTGTCAGTATCGGAAATTAGAATGCAAATGCCAGGGAGAACGGAAGCGCTCAGATCTCGCACAGTACACGGAATCAAGTGGTCTCACTCAAATAGAAAGTAGGAAATATATTCATCTAGCGAACGTAAGGGTTTGAAAGGTAACTAACGCACATGTGTAGAGAAAATTGTGCATCGGCCAGTCTGGCCGGCATTTCGCACTTATAGTGCAACTAGGGCGAAGGAGAACGGAAACGCTCATTTCTCAAAAAGTAGAGGGAATCTAGCGGTCTTACTCGATCAGAAGGTGGGAAATATATAAATCTAGTGAGCTAATAAGGTTCGAAAGGAATCTAATGCAAATGTATATGGAAAATGGCGCATTGGCCAGGTCAGTCAGTATGGGAACTTAGGGTGCAAATGTCAGGGAGAACGGAAGCGCTCAGATCTCGCATAGTACACGGAATCTAGTGGTCTCACTCAAATAAAAGGTAGGAAATATATTCATCTAGTGAACGTAAGGGTTTGAAAGGTAACTAACGCACATGTGTAGAGAAAATGGTGCATCGGCCAGTCTGGCCGGCATTTCGCACTCATAGTGCAGGTGGGGCCAGGGAGAACGGAAACGCTCGTTTCTCAAAAAGTAGAGGGAATCTAACGGTCTCACTCGATCAGAAGGTGGGAAATATATAAATCTAGTCAGCTAAAACGGTTTGATAGTATTCAATGCACATGTATAGAGAAAATGGTGCATTGGCCAGGTCGGTCAGTATCGGAACTTAAAATGCAAATGCCAGGGAGAACGGAATCAAATCTCGCATAGTACACGGAATCAAGTGGTCTCACTCAAATAGAAAGTAGGAAATATATTCATCTAGTGAACGTAAGGGTTTGAAAGGTAACTAACGCACATGTGTAGAGAAAATTGTGCATCGGCCAGTCTGGCCGGCATTTCGCACTTATAGTGCAACTAGGGCCAAGGAGAACGGAAACGCTCATTTCTCAAAAAGTAGAGGGAATCTAGCGGTCTCACTCGATCAGAAGGTGGGAAATATATCAATCTAGTGAGCTAATAAGGTTCGAAAGGAATCTAATGCATATGTATATGGAAAATGGTGCATTGGCCAGGTCGGTCAGTATGGGAACTTAGAGTGCAAATGCCAGGGAGAACGGAACCGCTCAGATCTCGCATAAACCCGGAATCTAGTGGTCTCACTCAAATAGAAGGTAGGAAATAAATTCATCTAGTGAACGTAAGGGTTTGAAAGGTAACTAACGCACATGTGTAGAGAAAATGGTGCATCGGCCAGTCTGGCCGGCATTTCGCACTTATAGTGCAAGTAGGGCCAAGGAGAACGGAAACACTCATTTCTCAAAAAGGAAAGGGAATCTAGCGGTCTCACTCGATCAGAAGGTGGGAAATATATAAATCTAGTGAGCTAATAAGGTTCGGAAGGAATCTAATGCATATGTATATGGAAAGTGGTGCATTGGCCAGGTCGGTCAGTATGGGAACTTAGAGTGCAAATGCCTGGGAGAACGGAACCGCTCAGATCTCGCATAATACACGGAATCTAGTGGTCTCACTCAAATATAAGGTAGGAAATATATTCATATAGTGAACGTAAGGGTTTGAAAGGTAACTAACACACATGTGTAGAGAAAATGGTGCATCGGCCAGTCTGGCCGGCATTTCGCACTCATAGTGCAGGTGGGGCGAAGGAAAATGGAAACGCTCGTTTCTCAAAAAGTAGAGGGAATCTAACGGTCTCACTCGATCAGAAGGTGGGAAATATATAAATCTAGTCAGCTAAAAAGGTTTGAAATGTATTCAACGCACATGTATAGAGAACTGGTGCATTGGCCAGGTCGGTCAGTATCGGAACTTAAAATGCAAATGCCAGGGAGAACGGAAGCGCTCAGATCTCGCATAGTACACGGAATCAAGTGGTCTCACTCAAATAGAAAGTAGGAAATATATTCATCTAGTGAACATAAGGGTTTGAAAGGTAACTAACGCACATGTGTAGAGAAAATGGTGCATCGGCCAGTCTGGCCGGCATTTCGCACTTATAGTGCAAGTAGGGCCAAGGAGAACGGAAACGCTCATTTCTCAAAAAGTAAAGGGAATCTAGCGGTCTCACTCGATCAGAAGGTGGGAAATATATAAATCTAGTGAGCTAATAAGGTTCAAAAGGAATCTAATGCATATGTATATGGAAAATGGTGCATTGGCCAGGTCGGTCAGTATGGGAACTTAGAGTACAAATGCCAGGGAGAACGGAAGCGCTCAGATCTCGCATAGTACACGGAATCTAGTGGTCTCACTCAAATAGAAGGTAGGAAATAAACTCATCTAGTGAACGTAAGGGTTTGAAAGGTAACTAACGCACATGTGTAGAGAAAATTGTGCATCGGCCAGTCTGGCCGGCATTTCGCACTTATAGTGCAAGTAGGGCCAAGGAGAATGGAAACGCTCATTCTCAAAAAGTAGAGGGAATCTAGCGGTCTCACTCGATCAGAAGGTGGGAAATATATAAATCTAGTGAGCTAATAAGGTTCGAAATGAATCTAATGCATATGTATATGGAAAATGGTGCATTGGCCAGGTCGGTCACTATGGGAACTTAGAGTGCAAATGCCAGGGAGAACGGAAGCGCTTAGATCTCGCATAGTACACGGAATCTACTGGTCTCACTCAAATACAAGGTAGGAAATAAATTCATCTAGTGAATGTAAGGGTTTGAAAGGTAACTAACGCACATGTGTAGAGAAAATGGTGCATCGGCCAGTCTGGCCGGCATTTCGCACTTATAGTGCAAGTAGGGCCAAGGAGAACGGAAACACTCATTTCTCAAAAAGTAAAGGGAATCTAGCGGTCTCACTCGATCAGAAGGTGGGAAATATATGAATCTAGTGAGCTAATAAGGTTCGAAAGGAATCTAATGCATATGTATATGGAAAATGGTGCATTGGCCAGGTCGGTCAGTATGGGAACTTAGAGTACAAATGCCTGGGAGAACGGAAGCGCTCAGATCTCGCATAGTACACGGAATCTAGTGGTCTCACTCAAATAGAAGGTAGGAAATAAATTCATCTAGTGAACGTAAGGGTTTGAAAGGTAACTAACGCACATGTGTAGAGAAAATGGTGCATCGGCCAGTCTGGCCGGCATTTCGCACTTATAGTGCAAGTGTCAAACATTATATATGTTATGGTTGTGTAGACTACAGTGGGTTAGCCTATAGGGGGTACACAATTCTAGGGTTTCCTATTTGTACTCATTTCACTGCTAGTTCATTCATTCCTGTTCGCTTATTCTCACATGGTATAGAGCGGGTCCTTCCTAAGGACCGTTTTTTTAGGGCCCACCGAAGCGCGCCCCGAGGCGCGCATTTTTTTTCGCGACCCTTCGGGTCGCCATTGCTCTCGCGGCCCCGCGGTCCCTCAGACGCGGCCCCGCCACCCCTCCTGAGCGCGGCCCCGCCGCCTCCTCTGACGCGGCCCCTCCGCCTTCTTTAACGCGGCCCCGCCGCCCGCTGATCGCGGCCCGCCGTCGGCTCTGACGCGGCCCCGCCGCCGCCTCCTGATCGCGGCCCCGCCCCGGCTCTGACGCGGCCCGCCGCCGACTCTGACGCGGCCCCGCCCCGGCTCTCTCGCAGCCTCGCCGCTGGCCCTGACGTGGCCCCGCCCCGGCTCTCACACGGCCCCGCACCGGCTCTCTTACGGCCCCGCCGCCGGCTCTCTTACGGCCCCGCCGCCGGCTCTCTTACGGCCCCGCCGCCGGCCCTGACGCGGCCCCTGCCCCGGCTCTCAAGCGGCCCCACCGCCGGCTCTCTTGCGGCCCCGCCGCCGGCTCTCTTACGGCCGCGCCGCCGGCTCTCTTACGGCCCCGCCGCCGGCTCTCTTACGGCCCCGCCGCCGGCTCTCTAGCGGCCTTGCCGCCAGCTCTGAAGCGGCCCCGCCCCGGCTCTCACGCGGCCCCGCCGCCGGCCCTCACGCAGCCTTGCCGCCGGCTCTGACGCGACCCCGCCCCGGTTCTCCCACGCGGCCCCGCCGCCCCACCTGCAGCAGTCGGGCAGCAGTGCAGCCGAGCCGCCGTGCGCCCAAGCCGCCCTGTCGCCAAGCCGCCCGGGAGCCGAGCCGCCCTGCACCCGAGCCGCCCTGCTGCCGAGCCGCCCGGGAGCCGAGCCGCCCTGCACCCGCGCCGCCCTGCCGCCGAGCCGCCCGGGAGCCAAGCCGCTGTGCACCCGAGCCGCCCGGTCGCCGAGCCGCCTTTCTGCGGAGCTGCACGTCCTGCCCTGCCTGGTGAGCACAGTCCCACTGTCACTGCGTGCTCTTCCCCTACTGCTTGCACTGCTTTGCTGTCGTCGCCATGGCTACCCCTAGTGTCCTAGCTTTTGACGCTGAGGGTCGCGCCATTGATTTTGAGGTCTGGTTAGACGACCTGCAGCTGTTCTTACAGTGCGACAGAGCAGACGGCCTTTCTCTCTTTGACCTCACCTCTGGCGCCTCTCCTGCTCCTGCTGCTGATGCTGATCCCACTGTCCGCTCTCAGTGGGCCACCCGCGATGCTGCTGCACGTCTTGCTGTGCGTCGCCACCTCCCTACCTCTGAGCGTGCGCACTTTAGTCAGTACAAGAGTGCTCAGACCTTGTACGACGCTGTAGTTGCGCGCTACTCCTCCCCTGCCACTGCTGCACTGAGCCGTCTCATGCTTCCCTACCTCTTTCCTGACCTCTCTGCCTTTCCCACTGTCGCTGACCTCATTACGCACCTCCGCACTAGTGACACTCGCTACCGCGCCGCCCTTCCTGCTGAGTTCTGCGCTAAGAACCCCCCCCCCCATGTACATCACTCTCTACAACGTAGTCGCGCGCCTCCCTGACTCCCTTCGCGTAGTCAGGGACCACTTTCTCGCAGTCTGTCCCACCACCCTCACCGTCGACCTCCTCGAGAAGGCCCTCCTCGCAGCAGAGAAGAGCATAGTCGCTGTAGGTGCTTCTCGTGGTGACCCTCGCACCCCCATCTTTGAGGGGTGCTCTCCTTCCCCCTTGCTGCCCTCTGTTGCCTCTGCTGCTGCTGCCGACCTGCTTGGTCTTGAGTCGGTCGGCGCGGCGTCTGCCCCTAGTGGGAGACGTCGCTCTAGCAAGGGCAAGGGGGGCAAGGGCGCGGGGGGAGCTGGAGGGGGCGGTGGCGGTGGCGGCGGAGGCGGCGGAGGGAGTGGGGGTGGCGGCGGGAGTAGTGGCGGGGGTGGTGGTGGTGGTGGCAGCAGCGGCGGAGACGGTGGTGGTGGTGGCAGCGGTGGTGGAGGTGGCAGCGGCGGAGGTGGAGGCGGCGGAGGTGGAGGCGGTGGAGGCGGCAGCGGAGGAGGCGGTGGTGGTGGAGGGGGCGGAGCTGGTCGGGGTGGTACCCACCAGCGTAGCGGCGGTGGTGGTGGCCAGCGCTCGCAGCGGCAGCAGCAGCAGCGCTCGCGGGACATCCCTCCGCCTCAGCAGCTTCGTGAGTGGTACACTGGGCATCAGAGGGGTGGGGGTACTGGTCCCTGCACCTACGTTCTTCGTTCCGGCGACCGCGCGGGTGAGCAGTGTGGGGGTGCCCACTCCACTCAGCGCTGCTTTGGCCGCCTGACGGACGCTTGGCGTCAGCAGTTCCCCGGGGCTAGTGAGATCCCTGGCTGGGATGAGCTTCTTAGGGCTGGTGTAGCGATCTTTGATCTTGATTTTGATGCTATCCTTGCCGCTATGTATGCTGTGACTATTAGTGAGGAGAATGAGGGCTACCGGTGTTTCCAGCCCGACCCGGGCATTGGTACTGCTGCGCTAGGTGCTTGTGAGGCTGCTGCTCTAGGTGCCAGTGCGTCTGCGCTCTCAGGTACTGGTGAGACTGCGCTCTCAGGTACTGCGTCGCCCTCCTCCTCCCTCACTTTCACACTTGACTCCGGGGCTTCTCGCTCCTTCTTTCGAGACCGCACCACTCTCACGCCGCTTGGTCGGCCGGTTGCCGTCTCCCTGGCTGACCCCTCTGGGGGTCCTGTCCTCTCTCACTTCTCCACTGTCCTCCCGTGTCCGGCTGCCCCTTCGGGCACCCTGTCTGGACTGTACCTTCCCTCGTTCTCTACGAACTTGGTGAGTGGTGTGGACCTGCAGGATGCGGGGGTTCACCAGTTCACTCCTGCGAGTCAACGGGTGACCCACTGCACGGACGCACGCACAGGCCGGCACCTGGCCACGTTCTCACGTCGGCCGGGGTCGAGCCTCTACACCCTGACCACTGCGTCTCCTCCTATCCCTGCGTCTGGTCAGGTAGCTGCGTCAGGTCAGGTGCTTGCTGCTGCGTCCCGGTCAAGTCCTGAGTCTGCCCCCTGTTCTTGTCGCCTCCTGTCTCACGAGACTCTCCTGTGGCACCACCATCTTGGCCACCCGTCCTTGCCCCGTCTTCGGAGCATGGCTTCCCGTGTCCTTGTCTCTGGTCTGCCCCGGTCTCTCCCTCCCCTTCCCTCCGGGCCAGGACCTTCCTGTGTCCCCTGTGTCGAGGGTCGCCTCCGGGCTACTCCTCTCTCCTCCCAGTTCCCCCCGACAGAGGCTCCTCTGCAGACGCTTCACATGGATGTGTGGGGCCCAGCCCCCGTCCGTGGGCAGGGTCACGAGCGCTACTTCCTGTTGGTGGTTGACGACTACTCGCGGTACACCACAGTCCTCCCCTTGCGCAGCAAGGGTGCTGTCACTGAGGTGCTGATCGACTGGATCAGCGCTGCTCGTCTCCAGCTCAGGCAGAGCTTTGGCTCGGACTTTCCTGTTCTGCGTCTGCACTCGGACAGAGGCGGAGAGTTCTCCTCTCGCCTTCTGCGAGACTACTGTCGTGCACGGGGGATCCGCCAGACCTTCACGCTTCCGGACTCTCCACAGCAAAATGGGATTGCTGAGCGCCGCATTGGCATGGTCATGGATGTCGCTCGTACGTCCATGATGCATGCGGCTGCCCCCCATTTTATGTGGCCGTTTGCGGTGCGGTATGCGGCGCATCAGCTCAACCTTCACCCCAGGGTCTCTCGGCCCGCGATGTCCCCAGTCTTACTGTGGACGGGGAAGGTTGGCGATGCGTCGGTGTTCCGTGTCTGGGGATCTCGGGCGTTTGTCCGCGACTTGTCAGCGGACAAGCTGTCCCCTCGTGCTGCTCCCTGTGTCTTCCTTGGCTTCCCCACTGACGCTCCAGGGTGGCAGTTTTACCACCCCTCCTCTCGTCGTGTTCTGTCCTCCCAGGACGTCACGTTCGACTAGTCAGTCCCCTTATACCGCCTCTTCCCCTACCGCACTCCTTCCCTCCCCCCTCCATCGGACTTCCTTGTCCCGGTTCCTCCCCCGGTAGACCCCCTCCCCCCTCAGGTTCCTGCCCCCTCACGTGTGTCCCAGGTAGACGCAGTTGACCCGGTCGAGGTTACTGGTGACTCTGGTGCTGCTGCGGGTGCTGAGCCTGGGGGTGCTGACTCTGGGGGTGCTGTGCGCGAGGGTGCTGGGCATGGAGGTGCTGAGCCTGGGGGTGCTGGGCCTGTGGGCGCTACTGTGGAGGGTGCGAAGCCTGGGGGTGCTGAGCTGGGGGGTGCTGTGCCTGGCGGTGCTGGGTCTGGGGGTGCTGAGCTGGGGGCTGCTGAGCCTGGGGGTGCTGCGTCTGGAGCTGCTGAGCCTGGGGTTTCTCCTGCTGCTGCGTCTCGCCGGGAGCCCCTCTCTCCACAGGAGCTGCGCGAGTGGTTCGCTCGCCGCTGGAGGCGTGCTGCTGAGTCTAGGGGTGCTGCTGGAGCTGGAGCTGGAGCTTCTTCGACCGTCGAGGGTGCGGGTGCTGCCGGTCCCGGAGCTGCTGGACCTGCGGGTCCTCCTGGAGCTGGAGCTGCTGAGGGTGTTGGTGCTGAGACTACTGCTGTTGGTCCTGCCGCTGGAGGTGTGGGTGGCGCTGGTGCTGTCGCTGAGGGTGCTGGTGCTGTCCCTGCTGAGTCTGGAGCTGCTGCGCAGCCTCGGCCGTACTTCGTTCCGCTCCTGCAGTAGGTTCTTGGTCTTTCTCCTTCAGTAGAGGGTCCACAGCCGGTTCGGTCGCAGTCACTGTTGGAGCCGTCCTCTCCACTGCCTGCTCCCTCTCCTTACACTGGTCCTACTGGAGGTCTTGCTGAGCGCCGTGAGCCTGCGTCCCGTCCCGCGTCGCCTGTTCGTGCTGCTCGTGCTAGTGGTCGCAGTTCGCGTCAGCGTCCTCCTCCTGTCCCTGGCACGCACCGGATGTCTCTGCGTCCGTCCACTGCTCCTCTGCGTGCCCCTTTGCCTTCTCCTCCTGAGTCCTCTGTTCCTGCGCTTGCCGACCCTGAGTCGGACTCTCTTCGTGCTGCCAGTCCTACTATCACGCGTCTGCTTGCTACTGTCGTCACTGACCCCTCTTTTGAGTCCACTGCTGCGTCTGCTCTTGTCGCTGAGCTCGTTGACTTTGCTGCTTGCTGTCGTCTAGACTACGCTGCTAGTCTTGTTGCTGAGTCTGCGTCTGTCTGTCCTCCGTCCGTCGGGGGTGATTGTGCTCTTGGCACGGACGTCCTAGAGGACAGGCAGGAGGAGTTACAGTGTCTAGCGGCCGCTTCACCTCATCTCGCGTCTGTACTGCTTGCTCCTGAGGGAGACCCGGATGCACTAGACATCCCGACTCCGCGCTCTTAAGCGGAGGCCGTAGAGGGTCCCTACTCCTCTCAGTGGCAGGCAGCTATGGATGCAGAGATGGCTTCCTGGAAGTCCACAGGGACCTACGTTGACGCAGTTCCCCCTTCTGGGGCGAACATTGTCACTGGCATGTGGATCTTCAGGGTGAAGCGGCCGCCGGGCTCTCCACCTGTCTTCAAGGCACGGTACGTTGCTCGTGGCTTCAGTCAGCGGCAGGGAGTTGACTACTTTCAGACCTTCTCTCCCACCCCGAAGATGACCACTCTTCGGGTGCTGCTGCACATAGCTGCTCAGCGCGACTACGAGCTTCACTCTCTCGACTTCAGCACTGCGTTCCTGCAGGTAGCCTGCACGAGGAGATCTGGCTGCGCCGTCCGCCTGGCTTCACTGGGACTTTCCCTCCTGGCACCCAGTGGAGCCTCCGACGGCCAGTCTACGGTCTCCGCCAGGCACCGCGTGAGTGGCACGACACACTGAGGACTACGCTTGCGGCTCTTGGGTTTGCTCCGTCTACTGCTGACCCGTCGCTGTTTCTGCGCACCGACACTTCACTGCCGCCGTTCTACATCCTCGTGTACGTCGACGACTTGGTCTTTGCCACAGCGGACACTGCTGGACTCGCCTACGTGAAGTCCGAGCTGCTGAAGAGACACACGTGCACAGACCTGGGTGAACTGCGCAGCTACCTTGGCTTGCAGATCACTCGGGATAGAGCACGCCGCACCATTACCTTGACTCAGTCACACATGGTGCAGCAGGTCCTTCAGCGCTTCGGCTTCACGTACTCCTCGCCTCAGGCCACTCCTCTGTCTACTCGTCACTCGCTCTCAGCTCTGCCTTCGGATGAGTCCGTAGAGTCGAGTGGCCCGTACCCAGAGCTTGTTGGCTGCCTCATGTACCTGATGACCTGCACACGACCTGACCTTGCATACCCTCTGAGCATTCTTGCACGCTATGTTGCTCCTGGGAGACACCGACCAGAGCACATGGCTGCAGCTAAGAGGGTATTGCGCTACCTGTGCAGTACGTCGGGCATGGGGCTAGTGCTTGGAGGGCGGAGTCCAGTGGTCCTTGCAGGCCACGCGGACGCTTCTTGGGCTGACGACCAGGCTACGCAGCGGTCGTCACAGGGTTACACCTTCAGTCTTGGTTCCGGCTCTGTCTCCTGGCGGTCTACTCGTTCGTCTTCGGTTCTCGGCTCTAGTTGTGAGGCTGAGATCTACGCCAGGGCCATGGCTGCACAGGAGCTTCGCTGGCTCACCTACCTGCTGACTGACCTTGGAGAGCCGCCTCGTTCTCCTCCAGTGCTGTACGTAGACAACAAGGCTATGCTGGCCTTGTGTCGAGAGCAGCGCTTGGAGCACAGAACGAAGCACATTGCTCTCCGCTACTTCCTTGCTCGTGAGCTGCAGCAGCGTGGTCAGTTGCGACTTGCGTACGTGGCCTCTAAGGCCAACACTGCTGATGTGTTCACTAAGGCACTTGCGCCTTGTGACCATCAGCGCTTTTGTACCCAGCTGGGTCTTGTGTCTGTCTTGCCTCACTTGCTCTCCTCTTGACATTACTTGTACTGTGACATATATATATACCTGCTCTTGCTTGTCTAGTTTTATATATATGTCTGTACTCCTACATGTGAACTGGCCTCTGGCCCTGCTCTTGTGCTCGGACTGTGTGGTGACTTTGTGATCCACCCTAAGCTTGCTTTGCTTTGCTTGACTGGTCTTGTGACCCCTTGTTCTCCCCCACTTTGCCTATGGGGGTGTGTCAAACATTATATATGTTATGCTTGTGTAGACTACAGTGGGTTAGCCTATAGGGGGTACACAATTCTAGGGTTTCCTATTTGTACTCATTTCACTGCTAGTTCATTCATTCCTTTTCGCTTATTCTCACAGCAAGTAGGGCCAAGGAGAACGGAAACGCTCATTTCTCAAAAAGTAAAGGGAATCTAGCGGTCTCACTCGATCAGAAGGTGGGAAATATATAAATCTAGTGAGCTAATGAGGTTCAGAAGGAATCTAATGCATATATATATGGAAAGTGGTGCATTGGCCAGGTCGGTCAGTATGGGAACTTAGAGTGCAAATGCCTGGGAGAACGGAACCGCTCAGATCTCGCATAATACACGGAATCTAGTGGTCTCACTCAAATATAAGGTAGGAAATATATTCATCTAGTGAACGTAAGGGTTTGAAAGGTAACTAACGCACATGTGTAGAGAAAATGGTGCATCGGCCAGTCTGGCCGGCATTTCGCACTCATAGTGCAGGTGGGGCCAGGGAGAACGGAAACGCTCGTTTCTCAAAAACTAGAGGGAACTAACGGTCTCACTCGATCAGAAGGTGGGAAATATATAAATCTAGTCAGCTAAAAAGGTTTGAAATGTATTTAACGCACATGTATAGAGAAAATGGTGCATTGGCCAGGTCGGTCAGAATCGGAACTTAAAATGCAAATGCCAGGGAGAACGGAAGCGCTCAGATGTCGCATAGTACACGGAATCTAGTGGTCTCACTCAAATAGAAAGTGGGAAATATATTCATCTAGTGAACGTAAGGGTTTGAAAGGTAACTAACGCACATGTGTAGAGAAAATTGTGCATCGGCCAGTCTGGCCGGCATTTCGCACTTATAGTGCAAATAGGGCCAAGGAGAACGGAAACGCTCAATTCTCAAAAAGTAGAGGGAATCTAGCGGTCTCACTCGATTAGAAGGTGGGAATTATATAAATCTAGTGAGCTAATAAAATTCGAAAGGAATCTAGTGCAAATGTATATGGAAAATGGTGCATTGGCCAGGTCGGTCAGTATGGGAACTTAGAGTGCAAATGCCAGGGAGAACGGAAGCGCTCAGATCTCGCATAGTACACGGAATCTAGTGGTCTCACTCAAATAGAAGGTAGGAAATAAATTCATCTAGTGAACGTAAGGGTTTGAAAGGTAACTAACGCACATGTGTAGAGAAAATTGTGCATCGGCCAGTCTGGTCGGCATTTCGCACTTATAGTGCAAGTAGGGCCAAGGAGAACGGAAACGCTCATTTCTCAAAAAGTAGAGGGAATCTAGCGGTCTCACTCGATCAGAAGGTGGGAAATATATAAATCTAGTGAGCTAATAAGGTTCGAAAGGAATCTAATGCATATGTATATGGAAAATGGTGCATTGGCCAGGTCGGTCAGTATGGGAACTTAGAGTGCAAATGCCAGGGAGAACGGAAGCGCTCAGATCTCGCATAGTACACGGAATCTAGTGGTCTCACTCAAATAGAAGGTAGGAAATAAACTCATCTAGTGAACGTAAGGGTTTGAAAGGTAACTAATGCACATGTGTAGAGAAAATGGTGCATCGGCCAGTCTGGCCGGCATTTCGCACTTATAGTGCAAGTATGGCCAAGGAGAACGGAAACGCTCATTTCTCAAAAAGTAAAGGGAATCTAGCGATCTCAATCGATCAGAAGGTGGGAAATATATAAATCTAGTGAGCTAATAAGGTTCGAAAGGAATCTAATGCATATGTATATGGAAAATGGTGCATTGGCCAGGTCGGTCAGTATGGGAACTTAGAGTGCAAATGCCAGGGAGAACGGAAG